CCTAGTGTTTCATATTACATCTTATAACCAAAGAAGTAGAATATAACTCTACTAATAATTTCAAGCCTTCAAAATGTGCTGATTAATATAATGCATATCTGACATTGTATAAAAAATCATCAAATAAACATTCCATGAGGCTCAGCATAAGCCTTAACTAAATATCTAAGAATGTGAAGAACTATGATGGATAGAGAGTGAATACCGTCAAACTATATGATGCTTCCACCTCACCAGTATTCTTAGTTGTGATTGTAGCAACTCCAAATTGAGTTAGGGCTTCAAATGTAGGGATGCTAACACCCAAAATCTTTCCAGGGCTCCTGGACAAAAGAAAGTGCTAAGCAGCTTGTGATTTTTTTACTATAAAAAGACAATAATTCTGCTGGATATAAAGGCATCCGTCCACATCATTAGAAACCAAATTAGCTGGCATTAAACTTACTTACGCCATTTTTCCTCCGAACCATACAACAGAGCTATGAAGCACAGATACGGATACGTATCCATGACGAACCGAAGCGTATCCGTCTCAGATACATGTCCGACACCGACACGTGAAGGAGTTTCACGTATCCGTGCTTCAGAGCAGCAGAGCAGACTAACAAGGGAAACTTATTTTCATGATTTTTGTTTCCGTCTTAGACTTTATCATGTATACTCCATTATCCCCCTCCCCAAAAAAAAGTTTTATTAGAGTTGATCAAACACCATAACTTCTGTTTGCAAAAAAAAATCTGCGATTGAATGACTACACCAACATCTCAAATTTTTTGTCAGCTTACAACCTCACTCAGACTACAAAACACTCTTGCACATCAACATTGACTAGGAAAAAAAAAATCCATCAGCAACTTAAGTTTTCAGTCACTACTATTAGCAATAAAGTTCATAAAAACAAGTTTCATAAAATAGAATGGCCGTGACAGATCCATATCCATGACATACATATTTATAAAGAACACCATTGTTTTGATATGATTTCTGAATGAAGGAAATAATAATACCTTTGATATACATATTCTACATCAGTGGCACTTAATTCTATCACGATGTTTGTATTAAGAACCTCTGTAATTCCTATTGAGAAAGAATAACTTCCAGTACCCTGCAGACAAATCAAATAAAAATCATTTCAAATTGAATACACCATGTTTAATATAAAGATACAATTAGCGTAACATAACTGGATGCTGGTTTATCCTTTCAAACCTTCCTTCCAAACCATAGAGTGGCACCTGATTCCTACTTATTCGGTTCAAGTCAGCCTGTTAAAACAAGAATGTTCCTCTCAAATTCTCACCAACAATAAGAATACTGCAGATAAAGTATAAGTTAAAGCATATTAACCTGAAATTATACAACTTTTCAGTGCATTGGAGTAAATATACATGTATTAAAATCATTGGCGTGTGTGTGTATGCAATGTCTGGTGCAAGAGTTATGAAAAAGGGGGTGATTGAAGAAGAAAGAAATGAAACCAGAATAGTGAGATGGTGAAACAAATTAGAGGAATGAAATTATTGTTGCAGTACTAACCTCTCGAAAATTCCACAACTGATTATGCAAGCAACTCCAAAAGGGTGAAGAGCAAAAGTTTGGTTGTTGATTGAAAGCTTCATAGTTGACACCAATTTTGTTACATTCAATACCATCTAACGTAAATCTTACTCTCTCAAGCAGCATCCACATAGAAATGTTTCTTCCCAAATCTTGTGGTTGAGCAGGATCACCCTGCCATAAGAAAATTTTGCAAATATTTTTTTAAGCTTCTAGAAGTTGTGAATGATGTCTCAAAAGCATGCAAAATTTCTTGAGACTATAGGGAGCATGGTGTTCTTCATCATTGAAAGTTCTTTTTTTTTTATCATATTCCTATTCCATGTGTACCTGATTTAACTCCACTGCAAAAGTGGGTTATTAAAAAACTACATGTTCAAAGAATTCTTTAAAGAAGGCAACTATCAAGAAACTGTGTAAGAGTAGGTTTGTGATTAACAAAGCAATGTTCATGAAGCCAATTTAAAAGAGTTGTCATTAGCAGCATAAAATTATTTAATAACCAATTCTTTAACCTAATTCAGTCTCCTTTTCAAAAAGACAAAAAAAAGAAGCTAATTCAGTCTCAATTTTATTTTACTGCAACATATGTTGTCCACAAAATATGCCAAAAAACTACTAGAAAATCACAATTCATCTATATTTGTGGATAAATTTACACTTTTAACAGCTAAAACCAGTTGGGATCAATTATGGTGAAACCAGTAAAGCAAGCATACCTGCCTTGGTACAACAAGATAGAAATCCTCAAACGATGGTATACTTGTATACCCAACAAAATCCCCAATAAGACTAACCCTCAAAAATTTATCATCAGATATCACTGTTCTGTTCTCAGGACCCACAACCACTTCCTGCCGGCCAAATTATGGATGGCGAAAATTATGTGTTAGGTAAACAGAAACTGGAAAACAAAATGACAGAAGAATATATGTATGCTCTTATTAGCATTTTATACTTTTTTTCCATTGCAAGCACAATATAATATGAAAGATTCGGGATACTTCACGAAAACCAGTATCATGATGCAAAATGCATAACCTACTGAAAAAGATGAATGTCTCATTTAAATCTTATAATATTGCTTATGAAAACCAATGATTACATACCGAAACTTCATTTCCACTCTTCACCTGTATTCGAACGCTAAATCCCAATGTTCGCCGCCCAATACCAAAGACATGAAACCTGAATTGGTCTAAAAAAATAAGAAAATCTAAGTTGTATCTGGTAACCAAAACAAGGAACAACTTCACATTTAAGAAATTACTACATTTAAAACAAGACAAAACTACATTATATCCAATATTAAATGCTAATAAATAGCAAGCTTCATTGTATAGTTCTGTTATAATAGTATTTTGCATGTCGTGATTATTATTGAGTTGAACTTGTTCTATTTGTACTATACTTGTACAGTTTTACCCAACATAGATTGTTAGTATGATACAAATATGGGTATCAGGCCAATGCTTCATTGTGATACATATCTATTTCTCATTCCCCATATATATCAAATCCCTAAAATTTCAACAAGACAACATCAACAAAATTACTGAGTTATTGTTCTATTATTGCAACTCACAATTTTTATCTTTTGTAATCTGGAAATAACAGGGAAATTCAGATAAGTTGAATTTGTTGCAGAATGAAAAAAGAAGGATTTCAAACAAATATCTTGACAAGATAAATTGGAACAAAAGGTTTGACTGATTCAACATAAACATCCACAAAGAATGGAAGGCTTACCAATCACCTGGAAAGCGCACACAATGTGCAGTGTTGGCCTTTCCTTTTGTCAATTTGTCAACTGCTTAAACAAAACATAATTGTAAATTCCATGTTTCCTAAAAACTTAATACTAATACTAATGCTGCCAACCGGCAACAGCATAGAGCACTTACAAAAGTTTCCACATGATGAAGGCATCCTCCGCCGTGGCCCACATGGACAACAGATTGGCTGAATTATAGATAGACAGACATAAATGTTAAGCAATGACAAATGCCAATGAATCTACCAACAAAGTTTTTTTTTGTTGGAATAAATTATCATCATAAGCCCTTAGAACATAAATGGTAAATGTAATTGGAAAATTGGACTTCCCAATATATTACAAGTACAACATTTTATAATATCATGATTCAAAAAACAAAAAAACTAAGGTGAAAGTATTTCTTAGTATGCCACTTGTTGTAAAACATAGGTGTTAACACAGAAAGACATGATTTTTTTGTGTTAACTGTAAAGCAAGTCTAACATGGAAGGAAAGCCACCTGAGTATTCTCAACAATATTACCCTCTTCATCTCGCAGTCTGAAAAACAAGACAAATTTGAGAAACAGTGTAGTCTACATCTCAAGTTCATAAATAGTTAATAATAATAATAATAAAACATGGCTTGCCTCTCGCATATTTTCACAACATTTGCACTAGCATCTGGCTTGCACTTGCGTGTTTTAACAAAAAATTCTTCAGGTTTATAAGGAACATCCTGCTAAATGCCACCCATTAAACCATCATTCATGTACGATAAGATATTGAGAAAAGGGGTATAGTTAGTTAAAAAGAAATGTCGTAAGAGAAGAGAATCATACTCGTATGTATGTTAAATCATAGAATGCATAAGCAGCAGATTTGTTAACAGTTATGACTGGAGGAACCCTCAAAGTTTGCATTTTTGCAGTTGCATTTTCTTCCACTTCAACCAATTCAGCAACAATCGATGCCTCTCCTCCACTCTATTAAAACACACACTATAAATTAGTTAAACATGTATACTTACTTCATTGATTCTACTCTACTACTTAATAAGTTAGTAATTGTGTAATGCATACAGAGCCACTGGGAACAGCCATGTTGAGAACGATTTTGGTAGTGCAATTGAGATTTTGTTCGGAGTTGGAATTCTTCTCGCATTTCTGTAGCTTTGATTTGGATATAATTTGAACTCCTCCTGTGAAATGGAGAGTGAGAAAGCAACATAACAAGAAGTTGGTGCTACGTGAAAGTAATGTCATCATTGTTTTTGTTCATAATGGGTTTGGTTTGACTTCAACGGACTAATTTCATGGAATGAAGGCGGTTTAGCGGTTTTGAAGAATGCCCCACGATATAAAGCGGTTTGGAGTTTTAGATGAATAAATAAATAAACTTGTTAGAAGGATTATATTGCAAATAGTAATGTTGGTGAAAAGTAGTGGTTTAATAGTAATAGGCAAAGCAATAACGAGCATTGATATTGCAATGAGCGTGAGTAGTAGCATGGTCTGGATCTGGACAGTTTCCTTTGCATTTTATGAGTTATCCTAATTCCCAGTTTCTGTTATAAGACAGTAGAAGGAATACAAAATTATAGTTATTCCCAGTTCTTGTATTAATAAACTGATGCATCATCTGAAATCATAAGTTGGAATTTCAACCTGAGCAAACTAAATGCAATCAAATGGTTTCGTGGTGTAGTTGGTTATCACGTCAGTCTAACACACTGAAGGTCTCCGGTTCGAACCCGGGCGAAGCCACTTTTCATGTTTTTACTTTGTACTTTGCTTGGCAGTGGAGAAAGAAAAAGGAAATAAGGAAGATAAAAGAAAATGTATTTCAATGGATTTTTATTTTGTTTAGATAGAGAGATATAGGCTAATGTTATTGTTCATTATTCTATCTCATCCTATTTTTTTGGATCAAGTTTTCTATATGATTAAACAATTAAAAAATTAATGATATTTTTAACCAAATAAATATCATTAACATGTACACAATTGAATAAAAACATATACAAACATGACTAACGAGTAATTATGATACTGATCAAGTCATTCTATCTCATATCCAACCTTAATTATTGAACAAGCCTAATTTTTGAACCTAAATCGATCTGATCACATTCAGACCGATTATAATTAGACCAAACTGGGTGAGAAGTTTGGGTAGGCTCACCCCAAGTGTGTACATTGATTTTTTTCTCCTTATAAAATGGGAAGGATATTTCATTGGTTGGGTGACCCACGTGATTTGAAGGGGCAAATAATAGCCTCATTGCAAAGAAAACTTGGTGCTTCTTCATTCATTCATTGTTTCACGGAAATTTCTTCCACGGTTTCTCTCTCTCTCTCTGTATGTATATATATATATATATCACCTTTCACAAATTAAATTCATTCGCTATACACGTTCCTGCGATCGATCCTGTTATCATCGCTCCAACTTGAAATGCACGAAATTGAATTTTCAATTAATTAACCGGTTTCCAATTTTGTTTCTGAAATTTAGCAAATAAATAAATAAAATAGTGTTGTTTTAGGCGATTGATTGATATTTTGGTGTTTGAGATCAGATATGGCGTTGCAAGAAAAGCTAGATAGATTCAAAAAGCAGCAAGAGAAGTGTCAATCGACGCTTGTATCTACCAAAGCTGCTCAAACCCTAAAATCACCATCTTCATCATCTACCAATGGAAGAGTTACTCCAATTCCTTCTGTCAAATTCTCAAACGATACTGAGAGGCTTCAACACATTAACTCTATTCGTAAAGCCCCCGTTGGTGCTCAGATGAAGCGTGTTATTGATCTCCTCTTTGAGGTTTGTAATTTGTAACTACCTATTCATTTCTTCAACCTTATTTTATCATAGATCAATTTGTGGTTGTGATTGTGTTTTCTTACAGACCCGTCAGGCTTTAACACCAGACCAGATTAATCAAGTATGCTATGTGGACATGAATGCTAATAGAAATGTTTTTGAAAGTATGAGGAAAAATCCTAAAATTAAATATGATGGGGAACGATTCTCTTACAAGGTAACTTTTTATTCACACATATCATCTTTATGATAACTTGTCTCACTTTTGTTCATTTTGATAACGACTTCTTGTGTTATACCACTATTTTTGGTTATCTTTGCTTTTGTTGTGTAGTCGAAGCATGATGTTAGGGATAAAAAAGAGCTGCTTGTCCTGATACGTAAGTTTCTTGAGGGCATTGCTGTTATTGATTTAAAGGATTCTTACCCAACTGTGATGGAGGACTTGCAGGTAAATGATTTCCGTTAGTTCGTTATATTAGATAAAAATGTCTTCATGTTCATTTTTCAGTAACGTTGTTGGAATCTTGGTCATAGATGATTCTCTAACTCTGATGGAGAAACTATTCTTATTTCACAAGTTTGATCCCCCCTGTGTGTAATGAATTTTTGGGAGTAGCATGATCACTACTATTCTTGTGAAAGAAGCTCAAATGTTATAGACAATACCAGAGATGGATATATGAATCAAATGTTGCGGGGGACAAAAAATAGTTTTAAAATTAATTAAGAAATTATGCCCACGAATCATCTTAGTGCTCTTTCAAGAGAAAACACATATCTAAGCTTAGATTAACACCCTTTAGTTGTGCTTTAAAGCACAACCAAAATTGTCTAATTAGTTTATGGACTTCATTAACGTGTCTGAAATTTTATGCTGGAAAGTTTTCATCTCATCATGCAATGTAACTCTAAATAGGCAGGTCCATATCATATTAGAACTATTCTCCTTTTCATTTTTTGAAAGTTTATCCTCATTTTTCTCTGCTTCTTATTTTCTAAGAATTTTATGTGATACTGATAATTTAATAGTAGTGTAAACTGTTTTAGTATGTTTTTATTGAAATATGTAAAGAGCAATAGAACATTAGAACTATTCGATAAATTTGATTTACAATATCTGTTAAAATTTAGTTTCATAAATTGGTTTCAAATGAAACAAGGCCCTAAAAAGCTATATCAATTTCTAGGCTTTAAAAGCTGCAGGGCAGATTTGGCTTCTGTCGAACTTTGATTCACAGGAAGACATTGCTTACCCCAATGACCCCCGAGTCCCTATTAAGGTGGATGATGACCTAAAACTGCTTTTTCGTGGGATTGAATTGCCTCGTGATATGCTTGATATAGAGAGGGATCTCCTAAAGAATGGAATGAAGCCTGCTACTAACACTGCAAAGAGGAGAAGCACAGCACAAATGGAAGGCATTCCTGCCTCCAAGTCCAAGCCTAAGAAGAAGAACAAAGAAATCAGCAAGAGGACCAAGCTCACTAATGTCCATCTTCCAGAGCTTTTTCAGAATTTAAAGGGTGACTGACTTGATGAATGCATGACATGTGTTGGGTGATTTCACAGATCATATGTTGGTATAAATGGTTCGTGTTTAGAAAGTTTTTATTGTGTTACATACTCCTGATTTTGGATGTATGCAATTAGTCTGAGGTAAACAATAATAGAGAGCAGAGAGCAGAGTGCAAATTCAGGCTTTCCTTCTATACAAAATTCTAAAATGGAAGGGCAATGGTGGCTACATCCCATCTTTATGGTGGGTTTTATGGTCTTGATGTCACGGTGTTTAAAACCATGGTCGCAAAATGTCGATCAATGGAACAGGTTGATGAACATGGTTATTTAATAGAGTGAAAATATTCTGGTGGATATGTCTTACCTGCTCTTGATAAAAAAAATATGTTTTACTTTTTATGCATTATGGTTGTAGGTTATATTTTCATGACTTAGCCTCATGGAATATTGTGATCTATTGCAACTTTCATACATCAATTTACAGGTTATGACCTGAAGTTTGGCTCATTTTAAAGTTTAATGCACACTGCTTCTGCAACTACTTTCACATACAACTTTCTACACGATTGCAACTCAATTTTTTCTCTCTCGTAGATCGTTTATTTATTAACAGTTTTCCTTTCTTTTTAATTTACAAAAATCGTTTGTATGACTTATGAACAATATTGAGCCGACACTCAAAGGTGGAAGCAATTCTTCATCATTATTATACAAAATATTTGAATCCATACATATAACTTGATGCATTCATAAATTGTCGTTCATGTCTCAACCCTCTCATGCCTTACCACTTTAAAAGAAACCCACAAACAAAATAGAGGGTGAGGGATCAAGAGTGAATTCAGGTATAGAAAATTTGTAATTTGAATTTTAAAAGTGATGATAAAGTATATGAAATCATTTGTATAAAAAATTGTTAATTTCATAAACGATTCAGGTAAGAATTGGGGCACAAATCAAATCTGCTTAAAATATATAAAGAACAACAAAAAAACTAAACACCTGCATTACAGTAAAGAATTATTTAAAAAAATTATCGGGAAGTAAATCGAGGATAAGACCCACGATATAAAAAAAATTACAAAGATATCCATTGTAGTAAATAAAAAGTCACAACGTACTACTTGTATAAAATTTCCATTGGACTTTTTACAGTATGATCATAATACTTCATAAAAACTTATCAGTATTGACAAGTCTAGTAAATGTTCGTTAGCCTATTTTAAACGGATGGGAATACAATTTTACTCCATAAGGCATTACATTGTATACTCATGCTCACTTAAATTTTGTGGGGGACAAAGCCATATATTCATAAATAAGCCTGAAGTACAATATCCATAGCTGCAAAGACCATTTTACTGTTATATGCAAGCACCTCGATTTATTTGATAAAAAAAAACAATGCATTGTATACCACAAAAAATCAGAAGGCCTAAACGCTTTGGTGAATAACCCTTTGTTAAGCAACTATTGTAGCTGTGAATTTAACCCACTGCACTATTTTTGGGTCCTTTTATTAGTAAACTTGTTTATAGTAGAGATGAGCTAGGCTACCATCTCCACCTTTACCTTTATCTCATATTTAGATAATGGATATGGAAATGGATGTGTTTATTCCTGAAGAGTTTATTATAAAGCGAAGGATAGAAAAAGAGGAGGCAGCAAATGCAGTGGCTTCTACATCTACAAAGGTCACCAAAAGTGTTTCAAATTCAGATTGCAATAACAATAATAATAAGAAGAATGAGAGGAATAATAATGAAGATAAATACAAGGACAAGAAAGGAAAGTCCCACCTCGGTCACAATTGTAGGTGATCATGTTATTTCTACCTTATCCGCTTTTAATTTGTTGCTTCATGATCATTATTATTAAATGAATCAACAAGAATCATTCGAGATATGACTTCATTTGTTTCTTTTTATATTAGATATGTCTTTTTCGTATCTATAAATCTCGGTTTGTAATGCACTTTTTCTAGTGTCATTTGTTTATTTTAAATCAATTGTAACCTAGAAGCTAGAACACGATTCAGGTTCCTAGCCAAGTAGAGACAAATGGGCTTGACCTTTCACAATATTTTTAGATGAATGGAGCCAACATTAAGCAGTGGTTTGTTCTCAATTCATACCTTGATTAGGCTGATAGATCATTTTGGAAAACTCCTAAATCACGTCATTAAGATGTGATTTGACACACATGAAATTAGGCTTCAAATCGAGAAAAATATATGCTTCAATTCAATGCATCAACCTTCTAGCGGATAGAGAGTTTTGGGAGAATAATTTTTTGGAATTTGATCCCGTAATTTTTTCACTCTAACATTTAAAGTCGTGAATTGAAATTGTCTCCGATACTAGAATTTAAAATAATATATTAATTCTAAATAACAATATTTAATAATTAAAGACATTAAAGAAAAATATACATTCATTTAA